TCTGCTCAAGCACCGAGGACGGTGCTTGCTGGAGAGGGGAGTAATGTAACAAGACGAAGGCGATCTCGCCGTCCGCGACTTCGCCAACTCAACAAACTGTGATCCGAAGCTGATTTCGGAACACGCCCTAAGAACATTTGGGAAATTCGAGGTTGGAACTCAACCTCGAATTGAGCGGCTCGTAAGTCTCAGTTTCCAACTTTGGGAACAACTACAGAGAGCACGCTAGTGCTGGACACAACACGGCAGAGAGCTTCAACAGCGCAGCAGAATAGTTGACAGCACAAGCAAGCAGAGTCTCCTACAGCCATACCTTCTTCCAACACAGCTTTTACTCATCATGATCAATGACAACATGGACGACAACTAGACAAATAATTTCTGCCTATCTCTTTCTAGACTTTGCTAATTGGTTCTAGGATATGACAACAAGGCTAGGATGTCTTGTACATAATCATAATGACTATGCCTTGCTGTTCTTAGCTCTAGGAATATGAAAGGCGACCTGAGCGACCTTCTCGAGGCGCCCTCACTAGTTTCCTAGTATAATAGGATGTATCTCTGAAATGTTAGCCATCATATGATCCCTTGTAAAGCTGTCTTGCTACTTTCTTCTTTGGATTCTTCTAAGACCTTTTTCTACTACTACTACTCTGCCAAAACAGCTTAGTAGCTGTTTCAGGCTGCTAGATGGTGTGGCTGCTAGATGGTGTGGCTGCTAGATGGTGTGGCTGCTAGATGGTGTGGCTGCTAGATGGTGTGGCTGCTAGATGGTGTGGCTGCTAGATGGTGTGGCTGCTAGATGGTGTGGCTGCTAGATGGTGTGGCTGCTAGATGGTGTGGCTGCTACATGGAGTGGCTGCTAGATGGTGTGGCTGCTAGATGGTGTGGCTGCTAGATGGTGTGGCTGCTAGATGGTGTGGCTGCTAGATGGTGTGGCTGCTAGATGGTGTGGCTGCTAGATGGTGTGGCTGCTAGATGGTGTGGCTGCTAGATGGTGTGGCTGCTAGATGGTGTGGCTGCTAGATGGTGTGGCTGCTAGATGGTGTGGCTGCTAGATGGTGTGGCTGCTAGATGGTGTGGCTGCTAGATGGTGTGGCTGCTAGATGGTGTGGCTGCTAGATGGTGTGGCTGCTAGATGGTGTGGCTGCTAGATGGTGTGGCTGCTTCATTGGTGGCATGGCAGCATGACGTCACAGATGATCCTAGATCTTTGCACTGCCATCGCAGCCTATCCGTTCCCCGCCCATCCCATCTTCTGTCCCCCTTGCGCTCTTCCTTCTCTTCCTGCCCACACAAACCCCACCTTCTCCCATCCCCATGGCTTCCCTCTCATTCCCAGTGCCCCACTCCCACCCCCCTTGCTCCTGCACATCCCCCTCTCCCCCCCACCCTCCCTCCTCGCTCCTCCCTCTCCGCGCCTCCCTCCCACCCATCCCCGCGAGCACCTTTCCTCGGCGGCCTGCGCGGCTCTGCTCCGCGCGTGCGCCACCTCCTGCCTCTCCGCGTCGGACAGCGGGCGCTCGCCGCGCGGGTAGAAGCAGTCGAAGCACGACACCAGCGCGCCCATCCCCGCCTGCGCGCGGGCGGGACGGGCCACGGCGGTCGTTCGGACGAACAGGAGTGTGGGTGGGAGGGAGAAGGGGGGCCACGCGGCAAATTCGCACAAGCGACGCGGGGGGGTGATGCCGTGTATTCGTGGCCGTCGTCGCTCGCTGCCTCGTCGAACTAACGAGATAATGTGCTTCCACGCGAAATTGGTCACTCTCAGCTCCTAAGGAATAATTTAGGCTGAGCTAGGACTAAGGGCGTGGCCGAATTTTCGACAACCAGATGGCGTGTATCCATTTTGACATTCTGTGTTTTTGCGGACGGTCCGCTTTTTTCAATTCGGACGGCCCTAACAAAGAGGTTAGGACCGTCCGAATCGACGGTTCGGCACTTTGGTACCGTCCAAAGTGGATGGGGACCCTTTTTCCACGCTTCTTCCACTTCGCGAGTGCTGTAGCATCGTGTAAGTATTTGTACCTGTCGTAACCCTTTTCCCGCTTTCCGGAAATTTCGTTTATCTGTTACGCGACATTGGACGACGAGACTCGCATTTCGTTTTTTTTTTTTTTCCTCCCGATTTTGCGCGCCAATCTTGTGCAAGGACTTTCGGACGGTCCGACTGCGTTTCGGACAGTCCGCTTCTGCCATTTCGACCCGTTGAAGTGGGGAAAAAGTGTCACCACCGTCCGAGTTTTTAGCGACGTCGCAAAGGAACTAACAAACAATATGACGAAAACGAGCGAAGCTGGTTACCATTTGTTACCACTTGTTACCATTTGTTACCATTTGTTACCATTTGTTAACCCGTCCGGAACAAAAAGTGGCAAAATGAGACACTTCTTAAGGGCGTGTACCATTTTGCACCTGACGGTTCATATTCGGACCGTCCGTTCAAAATCGTAGTAATTGTTGTCGCTCATATTCGTTCCATGTTTCAAAAGTAACCATGCGACGTCGTAGTCGTAACATAACCGAGTGGAACTTTTGGCTGAAAAGAGAGGGACCGAGCATGCGAAGGGTGACGGTGCCTCAGAAACGAACAATTCGAGTAGGGCGACTTGTGGTTGGCGCGCGAAAACATGCTGACAGTGCGACAGCAAGCGCCACTGCCAAATCGAAAACCGCTACCCCTCGTAACGTCGCAAGTGGTCATGGAGACACGAAACTGCAAAAAAGGTGTACTTGCCGTTCGTTCCCAAGGTTCAGTTTCGGTAAACGGACGGTTCCATCTCGGAAACGGAACCGTCCGTTTGTCGAGCGTTGATTTCTAAACACAACTTCAAGAAAGTGCAAAATGGTTACATCCCTAAAACTCTCGTAACACTGCGCCTGTTCCTGCCCTAGTTGCGTCTGCGGTTCATTGCACTATATTGACAACTGCCAAAAGTCAAAACACCTAAATGATTTCTGTGCTTTCAAAGGGTTAACGAAGATGGCACTAAAGGGGAAACGCATGAGCGAAGCAAAAAGATATAACGGTGTTACGCAAGCTATGATACAGGTTGATATTTCTTCGAACTTCCTAACGTTTCGCAATGCGGCATGCCCTTATGCGTCGTCAGCTCTGCACGATCGCACGGTCTCAGGCGTGACTCAGCGGCTCTCCACCCAGCGTTTCCCGCCTGCCCTCCGTACGTGTGCTTCCTGCTCACACGGGAGAGGACCCTCCTCTGCTCGCACGGCTGCGCGCTTGCGCCGCTCGCCACTCACCACTGCGCGCCGCTGCCGCCTGTGAGCGTCACAGCGGCGCCTGCGGGGCTTCGAGGACGTCTGGCGCGCCGCGCCACGCGACGGCGAGGCGGCAGGCGGCATGGCGGCGGTGAAGGCAAGTGCGCGGTGCGCGGAGAACGAGGCGGTGGTAGCGTACCTGCAGGGGCGACAGCGCGAGCTGTGCGGCGAGTGGGACGGCGCGCTGACGCGCGCGTTCCGCATGGCCATCGCGAGCATCAGCGACCACTCGCTGCCACTGCGCACCCTCAACGACGCCAGCAAGCTCAGGTGCCTCGCCGCGGCATGCCGTGCTCTCCTCTCATCCCCGAGTCTGCACGCACGCCCCACTGCCCCACCCTCGCCGCACATGCAACACCATCCCCCCTACCCCCCTCGTCCGCTCCCCCCCCCCCCCCCTCCTCAGGAACGTGGGTCCCGCCATCCAGCGGCAGCTCAAGGCATTCTTCGCCACCCACAAGCCCGTCGCCCAGCCCCGCACACCCACCCCGCCCGCCAATAGCGCGCTGCCAGCTGGCAGCGACCCGGGCATGGCGGTGGGAGGAGGGGCGATGGACATGGCTCCCGTGGAAGGTGAGGGGTAGTTTACGGAAAAGGGGAGGGGCGGTATGCAGAGGAAGGGATTGTGGGCGAGAGACTGGGTGCATGGCCACTGGCATGCACCCGTCCCGTGGGCCGTGGCCACTGGCATGCACCCGTGGCTGCTGTGCGTGTGCACGCACGTGTGGGCGCGCGGGTGGTGGGGGCACTGCGGGCGGTGCAGGTGTGTGTGAAGGAGAGAGTGGGTTCTTCGTGAGGGAGGAGAGGCAGCATTGAGATAACGTGAAGAGAAGGAGCTTGAGGGCGTGGGTGAGCAACGTGGGATGCACGTGTGCCCTTCTAACAGCAACGTGGGATGCACGTGTGCCCTTCTAACAGCTGCCACTTCGTGCGTGCAGGTGATGACGTGGCACATGCAATGGACCAATCAGCAGCGGCCATACCGGACTCCATCCCGCGCAAGCCGCCCAAATACTCGCCCAAACGCGGCTCAGCCGCCTTCGCCATCCTTGTCACCCTCCTGCTGTAAGGGGCCCCCTTCCCACTGGCCCCCTTTCCACTGGCCCCCTTCCCACTGGCCCCCTTCCCACTGGCCCCCTTCCCACTGGCCCCCTTCCCACTGCCCCCCTTCCCACTGGCCCCCTTCCCACTGCCCCCCTTCCCACTGGCCCCCTTCCCACTGGCCCCCTTCCCACTGGCCCCCTTCCCACTGGCCCCCTTTCCGCTGCCCCCCTCCCCGCTGCCCCCCCTCCCCACTGCCCCCCTCCCCGCCTCCCTCTCCACCTGTCTCTTGAGAATTCTGTCAGGACACTGCTTGCTGCCGTTTTATGACTTGCATCTCATGCCACTCTGCCATGCCACTCACATGCTGCACCTTGCTTCACTAGCCCACCTGGTTGCCGCCATGCAATGGCATGGCATGGCACGGCATGGCACGGCATGGCACGGCATGGCACGGCATGGCACGGCATGGCATGGCATGGCATGGCACGGCATGGCATGGCGTGGCATGGCATGGCATGGCATGGCATGGCGTGGCGTGGCATGGCATGGCATGGCATGGCATGGCGTGGCGTGGCGTGGCGTGGCATGGCATGGCATGGCATGGCATGGCATGGCATGGCATGGCATGGCATGGCATGGCATGGCATGGCATGGCATGGCATGGCATGGCATGGCAGGGAGAAGGCAAAGGGGCGGCAGGCAGTGCCAGTGGCGGAGCTCATGGCCGCCTCCAGGGACGCCAACCTGCTCGCCTCCGTCATCAGGTGCTCGCCTCCGTCATCAGGTGCTCGCCTCCGTCATCAGGTGCTCGCCTCCGTCATCAGGTGCTCGCCTCCGTCATCAGGTGCTCTCTTCCTGAGGAGCTGTGTCGTGTGCTGCTCTGCTAATAGTGTAACCTGATGATTTCCCTGGGCGCCCAGAGAATAGTGTAACCTGCCCATCTCCCCATGGCCCTGGGCGGCAGGTTCCAGGTGCCCCAGGACGAGCGCAGCATGGGGGGGGCGCCACTGCAGCAGTTTGCATGTGGGTGGAGCAGCATGGAGACCCTCGCCAAGCACAACCTCGTCCTCAAAACCGCCCATCCGCCCAGGTGCCGCCCAGCCGTCCAGGTGCCGCCCAGCCGCCCAGGTGCTGCCCAGGTGCCGCTCACTCTGTCCCCCCCCTCAGGTGAGCTGCTGCTTGTGCACTTGGTGGTTGCATGACGCACTTGGTGGTTGCATGACGCACTTGTGGCAGCATGCTGTGTGCCTCGCACCCCACCTACCCATCATCGCTCCCATGCCACCCCCCCCATCCTGCCCTGCCCACCGCCGTCCCCCCTACGGCCCCTGCAGCTATGCGCTGTCGGAGGAGGGCCATGGCGTGGCGGTGGACTGCCTGCGCCGCTCCAAGATGCCGCTGCCCCCCGCCGCTGCTGCTCTGCTGCCAGGTGATCCCTGCTCGCCTGCCATGCTGCCATGATGCGTGTGTGCTGCCATGATGCGTGTGTGCTACCATGCACATAATGACTTCATGTTGCACTCTGCTGCAACCCTCCTACTATCTCTCCAATCTCCATTGCAACCCTCCTACTATCTCTCCAATCTCCATTGCAACCCTCCTACTATCTCTCCAATCTCCATTGCAACCCTCCTACTATCTCTCCAATCTCCATTGCAACGCTTCTGCTCTCTCCTCTGTCCTTCCTCTCCTCTCCCCCCCTCCCTTGGCCCTACCTGCTGTCCATGCTGCCATGGTGCCATCGCACGTGCGGAGGGCAGCAGCACTACCCACGGACACGGGGGGGGAGCGGTGGGCAGACAGGTGCGCCCGACCTTAGCCACGCCTTTCATGCCTCCGCACACAACGTGATGTGATGTACCTTGTGCTATCATGTACCTTGTGCTATGATGTACCTTGTGCTATGATGTACCTTGTGCTATCATGTACCTTGTGCTATGATGTACCTTGTGCTACCATGTACCTTGTGCTATCATGTACCTTGTGCTATCATGTACCTTGTGCTATGATGTACCCAACACCCATTGTCCTTCCCACCGCCCTGCTTCCCTCCTATTTCGAAAACATCCCACTTGAAGCCCTTGGCACGAGAGAGGGCTCGCATCATCCATTAATTATGTGGGGAGAGGCGTGCACCACTTTCACACCCACGTCTTGCCCCTCCATGTCCCCCTGCCCCTCCATGTCCCCCTGCCCCTCCATGTCCCTCTGCCCCTCCATGTCCCCCTGCCCCTCCATGTCCCCCTGCCCCTCCATGTCCCCCTGCCCCTCCATGTCCCCCTGCCCCTCCATGTCCCCCTGCCCCTCCATGTCCCCCTGCCCCTCCATGTCCCCCTGCCCCTCCATGTCCCCCTGCCCCTCCATGTCCCCCTGCCCCTCCATGTCCCCCTGCCCCTCCATGTCCCCCTGCCCCTCCATGTCCCCCTGCCCCTCCATGTCCCCCTGCCCCTCCATGTCCCCCTGCCCCTCCATGTCCCCCTGCCCCTCCATGTCCCCCTGCCCCTCCATGTCCCCCTGCCCCTCCATGTCCCCCTGCCCCTCCATGTCCCCCTGCCCCTCCATGTCCCCCTGCCCCTCCATGTCCCCCTGCCCCTCCATGTCCCTCTGCCCCTCCATGTCCCCCTGCCCCTCCATGTCCCCCTGCCCCTCCATGTCCCCCTGCCCCTCCATGTCCCCCTGCCCCTCCATGTCCCCCTGCCCCTCCATGTCCCCCTGCCCCTCCATGTCCCCCTGCCCCTCCATGTCCCCCTGCCCCTCCATGTCCCCCTGCCCCTCCATGTCCCCCTGCCCCTCCATGTCCCCCTGCCCCTCCATGTCCCCCTGCCCCTCCATGTCCCCCTGCCCCTCCATGTCCCCCTGCCCCTCCATGTCCCCCTGCCCCTCCATGTCCCCCTGCCCCTCCATGTCCCCCTGCCCCTCCATGTCCCCCTGCCCCTCCATGTCCCCCTGCCCCTCCATGTCCCCCTGCCCCTCCATGTCCCCCTGCCCCTCCATGTCCCCCTGCCCCTCCATGTCCCCCTGCCCCTCCATGTCCCCCTGCCCCTCCATGTCCCCCTGCCCCTCCATGTCCCTCTGCCCCTCCATGTCCCCCTGCCCCTCCATGTCCCCCTGCCCCTCCATGTCCCCCTGCCCCTCCATGTCCCCCTGCCCCTCCATGTCCCCCTGCCCCTCCATGTCCCCCTGCCCCTCCATGTCCCCCTGCCCCTCCATGTCCCCCTGCCCCTCCATGTCCCCCTGCCCCTCCATGTCCCCCTGCCCCTCCATGTCCCCCTGCCCCTCCATGTCCCCCTGCCCCTCCATGTCCCCCTGCCCCTCCATGTCCCCCTGCCCCTCCATGTCCCCCTGCCCCTCCATGTCCCCCTGCCCCTCCATGTCCCCCTGCCCCTCCATGTCCCCCTGCCCCTCCATGTCCCCCTGCCCCTCCATGTCCCCCTGCCCCTCCATGTCCCCCTGCCCCTCCATGTCCCCCTGCCCCTCCATGTCCCCCTGCCCCTCCATGTCCCCCTGCCCCTCCATGTCCCCCTGCCCCTCCATGTCCCCCTGCCCCTCCATGTCCCCCTGCCCCTCCATTTCCCCCTGCCCCTCCATGTCCCCCTGCCCCTCCATTTCCCCTGCCCATCCCCCCTCCCCTCCCCCACGCCCCAACATTCTCATGCACCCCTCTTCATCCCTCTTCACCCCTGTGCACGACACGGGTGGCAGGCAGTGCAGTGGTCGGCGCAGGTGCTCAACAACCCCTCCGCCATGCTCGACCTCCCAGGTCACTGCGCCACCACACCGTACCACACCACCACACCGTACCACACCACCACACCGTACCACTCCACCGCACCGTACCACACCACCCCACCGTACCACTCCACCGCACCGTACCACACCACCACACCGTACCACTCCACCATACCGTACCACACCACCACACCGTACCACTCCACCATACCGTACCACACCACCACACCGTACCACTCCACCACACCGTACCACACCACCACACCGTACCACTCCACCACACCGTACACACCACCACACCGTACCACTCCACCACACCGTACCACACCACCACACCGTACCACACCACCACACCGTACCACACCACCACACCGTACCGCACCACCACACCGTACCACACCACCACACCGTACCGCACCACCACACCGTACCACACCACCACACCGTACCGCACCACCACACCGTACCGCACCACCACACCGTACCACTCCAACACACCGTACCACTCCACCACACCGTACCACTCCACCTCACCGTACCACACCACCACACCGTACCACACCACCACACCGTACCACACCACCACACCGTACCACTCCACCGCACCGTACCACACCACCACACCGTACCACTCCACCGCACCGTACCACACCACCACACCGTACCACTCCACCACACCGTACCACACCACCACACCGTACCACACCACCACACCGTACCACTCCACCGCACCGTACCACACCACCACACCGTACCACTCCACCGCACCGTACCACTCCACCACACCGTACCACTCCACCATACCGTACCACACCACCACACCGTACCACACCACCACACCGTACCACTCCACCGCACCGTACCACACCACCACACCGTACCACTCCACCGCACCGTACCACACCACCACACCGTACCACTCCACCACACCGTACCACTCCACCACACCGTACCACACCACCACACCGTACCGCACCACCACACCGTACCACACCACCACACCGTACCGCACCACCACACCGTACCGCACCACCACACCGTACCACTCCACCACACCGTACCACACCACCACACCGTACCACTCCACCACACCGTACCACTCCACCACACCGTACCACACCACCACACCGTACCACACCACCACACCGTACCACTCCACCGCACCGTACCACACCACCACACCGTACCACTCCACCGCACCGTACCACACCACCACACCGTACCACTCCACCGCACCGTACCACACCACCACACCGTACCACTCCACCACACCGTACCACACCACCACACCGTACCACACCACCACACCGTACCACTCCACCGCACCGTACCACACCACCACACCGTACCACTCCACCGCACCGTACCACACCACCACACCGTACCACACCACCACACCGTACCACTCCACCACACCGTACCACACCACCACACCGTACCACTCCACCGCACCGTACCACACCACCACACCGTACCACTCCACCGCACCGTACCACACCACCACACCGTACCACTCCACCATACCGTACCACACCACCACACCGTACCACTCCACCACACCGTTCCACACCACCACACCGTACCACACCACCACACCGTACCACACCACCACACCGTACCACTCCACCGCACCGTACCACACCACCCCACCGTACCACTCCACCGCACCGTACCACACCACCACACCGTACCACTCCACCATACCGTACCACACCACCACACCGTACCACTCCACCATACCGTACCACACCACCACACCGTACCACTCCACCACACCGTACCACACCACCACACCGTACCACTCCACCACACCGTACCACTCCACCACACCGTACCACTCCACCACACCGTACCACACCACCACACCGTACCACACCACCACACCGTACCACACCACCACACCGTACCGCACCACCACACCGTACCACACCACCACACCGTACCGCACCACCACACCGTACCACACCACCACACCGTACCGCACCACCACACCGTACCCACCACCACACCGTACCACTCCAACACACCGTACCACTCCACCACACCGTACCACTCCACCTCACCGTACCACACCACCACACCGTACCACACCACCACACCGTACCACACCACCACACCGTACCACTCCACCGCACCGTACCACACCACCACACCGTACCACTCCACCGCACCGTACCACACCACCACACCGTACCACTCCACCACACCGTACCACACCACCACACCGTACCACACCACCACACCGTACCACTCCACCGCACCGTACCACACCACCACACCGTACCACTCCACCGCACCGTACCACACCACCACACCGTACCACTCCACCATACCGTACCACACCACCACACCGTACCACTCCACCACACCGTACCACACCACCACACCGTACCACTCCACCACACCGTACCACTCCACCACACCGTACCACTCCACCACACCGTACCACACCACCACACCGTACCACACCACCACACCGTACCACACCACCACACCGTACCGCACCACCACACCGTACCACACCACCACACCGTACCGCACCACCACACCGTACCACACCACCACACCGTACCGCACCACCACACCGTACCGCACCACCACACCGTACCACTCCAACACACCGTACCACTCCACCACACCGTACCACTCCACCTCACCGTACCACACCACCACACCGTACCACACCACCACACCGTACCACTCCACCGCTCCGTACCACTCCACCACACCGTACCACTCCACCACACCGTACCACTCCACCGCTCCGTACCACTCCACCACACCGTACCACTCCACCACACCGTACCACTCCACCACACCGTACCACTCCACCACACCGTACCACACCACCACACCGTACCACACCACCACACCGTACCACACCACCACACCGTACCGCAGCCACCACACCGTACCACACCACCACACCGTACCGCACCACCACACCGTACCACACCACCACACCGTACCGCACCACCACACCGTACCGCACCACCACACCGTACCACTCCAACACACCGTACCACTCCACCACACCGTACCACTCCACCTCACCGTACCACACCACCACACCGTACCACACCACCACACCGTACCACTCCACCACACCGTACCACACCACCACACCGTACCACGCCACCACACCGTACCACACCACCACACCGTACCGCACCACCACACCGTACCACACCACCACACCGTACCACACCACCACACCGTACCACTCCACCGCACCGTACCACACCACCACACCGTACCACTCCACCGCACCGTACCACACCACCACACCGTACCACTCCACCATACCGTACCACACCACCACACCGTACCACTCCACCACACCGTACCACACCACCACACCGTACCACTCCACCACACCGTACCACACCACCACACCGTACCACTCCACCACACCGTACCACACCACCACACCGTACCACACCACCACACCGTACCGCACCACCACACCGTACCACACCACCACACCGTACCGCACCACCACACCGTACCACTCCAACACACCGTACCACTCCACCACACCGTACCACTCCACCTCACCGTACCACACCACCACACCGTACCACACCACCACACCGTACCACTCCACCACACCGTACCACACCACCACACCGTACCACGCCACCACACCGTACCACACCACCACACCGTACCGCACCACCACACCGTACCACACCACCACACCGTACCACACCACCACACCGTACCACTCCACCGCACCGTACCACACCACCACACCGTACCACTCCACCGCACCGTACCACACCACCACACCGTACCACTCCACCATACCGTACCACACCACCACACCGTACCACTCCACCACACCGTACCACACCACCACACCGTACCACTCCACCACACCGTACCACACCACCACACCGTACCACTCCACCACACCGTACCACTCCACCACACCGTACCACACCACCACACCGTACCACACCACCACACCGTACCACACCACCACACCGTACCGCACCACCACACCGTACCACTCCAACACACCGTACCACTCCACCACACCGTACCACTCCACCTCACCGTACCACACCACCACACCGTACCACACCACCACACCGTACCACACCACCACACCGTACCACTCCACCGCACCGTACCACACCACCACACCGTACCACTCCACCGCACCGTACCACACCACCACACCGTACCACTCCACCACACCGTACCACACCACCACACCGTACCACACCACCACACCGTACCACTCCACCGCACTGTACCACACCACCACACCGTACCACTCCACCGCACCGTACCACACCACCACACCGTACCACTCCACCATACCGTACCACACCACCACACCGTACCACTCCACCACACCGTACCACACCACCACACCGTACCACTCCACCACACCGTACCACTCCACCACACCGTACCACTCCACCACACCGTACCACACCACCACACCGTACCACACCACCACACCGTACCACACCACCACACCGTACCGCACCACCACACCGTACCACACCACCACACCGTACCGCACCACCACACCGTACCACACCACCACACCGTACCGCACCACCACACCGTACCGCACCACCACACCGTACCACTCCAACACACCGTACCACTCCACCACACCGTACCACTCCACCTCACCGTACCACACCACCACACCGTACCACACCACCACACCGTACCACTCCACCGCTCCGTACCACTCCACCACACCGTACCACTCCACCACACCGTACCACTCCACCACACCGTACCACTCCACCACACCTCACCGTACCACACCACCTCACCGTACCACACCACCACACCGTACCACATCACCACACCGTACCACACCGTACCACTCACCACACCGTACCACTCCACCACACCGTACCACTCCACCACACCGTACCACTCCACCACACCGTACCACTCCACCACACCGTACCACTCCACCACACCGTACCACACCACCACACCGTACCACACCACCACACCGTACCACTCCACCACACCGTACCACACCACCACACCGTACCACACCACCACACCGTACCACTCCACCGCACCGTACCACACCACCACACCGTACCACTCCACCGCACCGTACCACTCCACCATACCGTACCACTCCACCATACCGTACCACACCACCACACCGTACCACACCACCACACCGTACCACTCCACCGCACCGTACCACACCACCACACCGTACCACTCCACCGCACCGTACCACACCACCACACCGTACCACTCCACCACACCGTACCACCACCACACCGTACCACACCACCACACCGTACCGCACCACCACACCGTACCACACCACCACACCGTACCGCACCACCACACCGTACCCACCACCACACCGTACCACTCCAACACACCGTACCACTCCACCACACCGTACCACTCCACCTCACCGTACCACACCACCACACCGTACCACACCACCACACCGTACCACACCACCACACCGTACCACTCCACCGCACCGTACCACACCACCACACCGTACCACTCCACCGCACCGTACCACACCACCACACCGTACCACTCCACCACACCGTACCACACCACCACACCGTACCACACCACCACACCGTACCACTCCACCGCACCGTACCACACCACCACACCGTACCACTCCACCGCACCGTACCACACCACCACACCGTACCACTCCACCACACCGTACCACACCACCACACCGTACCACACCACCACACCGTACCACTCCACCGCACCGTACCACACCACCACACCGTACCACTCCACCGCACCGTACCACACCACCACACCGTACCACTCCACCATACCGTACCACACCACCACACCGTACCACTCCACCACACCGTTCCACACCACCACACCGTACCACACCACCACACCGTACCACACCACCACACCGTACCACTCCACCGCACCGTACCACACCACCCCACCGTACCACTCCACCGCACCGTACCACACCACCACACCGTACCACTCCACCATACCGTACCACACCACCACACCGTACCACTCCACCATACCGTACCACACCACCACACCGTACCACTCCACCACACCGTACCACACCACCACACCGTACCACTCCACCACACCGTACCACTCCACCACACCGTACCACTCCACCACACCGTACCACACCACCACACCGTACCACACCACCACACCGTACCACACCACCACACCGTACCGCACCACCACACCGTACCACACCACCACACCGTACCGCACCACCACACCGTACCACACCACCACACCGTACCGCACCACCACACCGTACCGCACCACCACACCGTACCACTCCAACACACCGTACCACTCCACCACACCGTACCACTCCACCTCACCGTACCACACCACCACACCGTACCACACCACCACACCGTACCACACCACCACACCGTACCACTCCACCGCACCGTACCACACCACCACACCGTACCACTCCACCGCACCGTACCACACCACCACACCGTACCACTCCACCACACCGTACCACACCACCACACCGTACCACACCACCACACCGTACCACTCCACCGCACCGTACCACACCACCACACCGTACCACTCCACCGCACCGTACCACACCACCACACCGTACCACTCCACCATACCGTACCACACCACCACACCGTACCACTCCACCACACCGTACCACACCACCACACCGTACCACTCCACCACACCGTACCACTCCACCACACCGTACCACTCCACCACACCGTACCACACCACCACACCGTACCACACCACCACACCGTACCACACCACCACACCGTACCGCACCACCACACCGTACCACACCACCACACCGTACCGCACCACCACACCGTACCACACCACCACACCGTACCGCACCACCACACCGTACCGCACCACCACACCGTACCACTCCAACACACCGTACCACTCCACCACACCGTACCACTCCACCTCACCGTACCACACCACCACACCGTACCACACCACCACACCGTACCACTCCACCGCTCCGTACCACTCCACCACACCGTACCACTCCACCACACCGTACCACTCCACCGCTCCGTACCACTCCACCACACCGTACCACTCCACCACACCGTACCACTCCACCACACCGTACCACTCCACCACACCGTACCACACCACCACACCGTACCACACCACCACACCGTACCACACCACCACACCGTACCGCAGCCACCACACCGTACCACACCACCACACCGTACCGCACCACCACACCGTACCACACCACCACACCGTACCGCACCACCACACCGTACCGCACCACCACACCGTACCACTCCAACACACCGTACCACTCCACCACACCGTACCACTCCACCTCACCGTACCACACCACCACACCGTACCACACCACCACACCGTACCACTCCACCACACCGTACCACACCACCACACCGTACCACGCCACCACACCGTACCACACCACCACACCGTACCGCACCACCACACCGTACCACACCACCACACCGTACCACACCACCACACCGTACCACTCCACCGCACCGTACCACACCACCACACCGTACCACTCCACCGCACCGTACCACACCACCACACCGTACCACTCCACCATACCGTACCACACCACCACACCGTACCACTCCACCACACCGTACCACACCACCACACCGTACCACTCCACCACACCGTACCACACCACCACACCGTACCACTCCACCACACCGTACCACACCACCACACCGTACCACACCACCACACCGTACCGCACCACCACACCGTACCACACCACCACACCGTACCGCACCACCACACCGTACCACTCCAACACACCGTACCACTCCACCACACCGTACCACTCCACCTCACCGTACCACACCACCACACCGTACCACACCACCACACCGTACCACTCCACCACACCGTACCACACCACCACACCGTACCACGCCACCACACCGTACCACACCACCACACCGTACCGCACCACCACACCGTACCACACCACCACACCGTACCACACCACCACACCGTACCACTCCACCGCACCGTACCACACCACCACACCGTACCACTCCACCGCACCGTACCACACCACCACACCGTACCACTCCACCATACCGTACCACACCACCACACCGTACCACTCCACCACACCGTACCACACCACCACACCGTACCACTCCACCACACCGTACCACACCACCACACCGTACCACTCCACCACACCGTACCACTCCACCACACCGTACCACACCACCACACCGTACCACACCACCACACCGTACCACACCACCACACCGTACCGCACCACCACACCGTACCACTCCAACACACCGTACCACTCCACCACACCGTACCACTCCACCTCACCGTACCACACCACCACACCGTACCACACCACCACACCGTACCACACCACCACACCGTACCACTCCACCGCACCGTACCACACCACCACACCGTACCACTCCACCGCACCGTACCACACCACCACACCGTACCACTCCACCACACCGTACCACACCACCACACCGTACCACACCACCACACCGTACCACTCCACCGCACCGTACCACACCACCACACCGTACCACTCCACCGCACCGTACCACACCACCACACCGTACCACTCCACCATACCGTACCACACCACCACACCGTACCACTCCACCACACCGTACCACACCACCACACCGTACCACTCCACCACACCGTACCACTCCACCACACCGTACCACTCCACCACACCGTACCACACCACCACACCGTACCACACCACCACACCGTACCACACCACCACACCGTACCGCACCACCACACCGTACCACACCACCACACCGTACCGCACCACCACACCGTACCACACCACCACACCGTACCGCACCACCACACCGTACCGCACCACCACACCGTACCACTCCAACACACCGTACCACTCCACCACACCGTACCACTCCACCTCACCGTACCACACCACCACACCGTACCACACCACCACACCGTACCACTCCACCGCTCCGTACCACTCCACCACACCGTACCACTCCACCACACCGTACCACTCCACCACACCGTACCACTCCACCACACCTCACCGTACCACACCACCTCACCGTACCACACCACCACACCGTACCACATCACCACACCGTACCACTCCACCGCTCCGTACCACTCCACCACACCGTACCACTCCACCACACCGTACCACTCCACCACACCGTACCACTCCACCACACCGTACCACACCACCACACCTTACCACACCACCACACCGTACCACACCACCACACCGTACCACGCCACCACACCGTACCACACCACCACACCGTACCGCACCACCACACCGTACCACACCACCACACCGTACCGCACCACCACACCGTACCGCACCACCACACCGTACCACTCCAACACACCGTACCACTCCACCACACCGTACCACTCCACCTCACCGTACCACACCACCACACCGTACCACACCACCACACTGTACCACTCCACCACACCGTACCACACCACCACACCGTACCACGCCACCACACCGTACCACACCACCACACCGTACCGCACCACCACACCGTACCACACCACCACACCGTACCGCACCACCACACCATACCACACCACCACACCATACCACACCACCACACCGTACCACACCACCACACCGTACCACACCACCACACCGTACCACGCCACCACACCGTACCACACCACCACACCGTACCGCACCACCACACCGTACCACACCACCACACGGTACCACTCCACCACACCGTACCGCACCACCACACCGTACCACTCCAACACACCGTACCACACCACCACACCGTACCACTCCACCGCACCGTACCACTCCACGTGTGCCTTCATTGGTCCTTCCCACCTCCCCCCCCTCATCCCCTCCTTCCTCTCCGGCCGCTCTCACGCATCCCCCTGTGCTTCTTCCCCCTGGCAGGCAGCAGCGGGGTGGAGAGCGAGGAGGACTGGCAGGTGCCGCCACTGGCAGCGGGGGAGCGCTTCTCAGACGCCTATGACGTCATCATCTTCATTGACAACCGCGACAGCGAGTGAGCGCTGCTGCTGGGCTGGCCGCTGCGATGCTGGGCGCTGGGTGGTGGGGTTGCAGGGGGTTGCTGTTGCATGGCAGTGGCTGTTGCATGGCAGTGGCTGTTGCATGGCAGTGGCTGTTGCATGGCAGTGGCTGTTGCATGGCAGTGGCTGTTGCATGGCAGTGGCTGTTGCATGGCAGTGGCTGTTGCATGGCAGTGGCTGTGGGACGTGGTGCAACTGAGGGACGTGGTGCAAGCGGGTTCACAGTTGTTCAGAGGGGCCGCATCCATGCACCCGGGATGCAGCGGTCAGTGTCACCACCCATGGCGTCACTAAGCCTCTCATGCCTCCGCTCCCCCTGCTGTGTCCCCCTGCTGTGTCCCCCTGCTGTGTCCCCCTGCTGTGTCCCCCTGCTGTGTCCCCCTGCTGTGTCCCCCTGCTGTGTCCCCCTGCTGTGTCCCCCTGCTGTGTCCCCCCAGGTGCCACGGGCCCGTGTTTGCCAACCAGCTGTCGGCGCAGTTTGGCCTCGCCACTGAGGTGACGCACTGGGGCCAGGGGCCAGGCAGGGAGGTGAGGGGCAAGCAGTGCGGTGAGGGGCGAGGCAATGCGGTGAGGGGCGAGGCAGTGCGGTGAGCATGGGGGGGGAGGGCAGAGGGGCTGGAGAGGGTGGTGGCAGAGCAAGCCCATTGCAGCGATGCACCCCCCAATCCCATGCCACATCGCACCCCCCAACCCCACACATGGCTCTGCCCCGCCCCGTGCCTCCATCTTCTCACCGCCCCCGCCCCTCCCTCCCCACCATTGTTCCTTGGTCCCCACCATCGCCCCTCCCTGCACCGCTGACTGCTTCTGCATCTCCCTCCCTGTGTGCCCCTTCCGTGCACCGTCCCGCACTCACCTCCTACCACTTAACACTCCCCTTCTCCCAACACTCTGAACTCCCTTTCATCGTTCTGCACTCCCCTTTCCACTACTAGGAACTCCCTCGCACCACGTGTCTCAGTTGCACTGCCATCATGTATCAGGAACTGCAATGCATGGTGCCATGCATCCCGCCTGCAATGGTGCCATGCATGGTGCCATGCATCCCGCCTGCCACATCCCTCGCGTTATTCTTCAACAACTCCCCTCCTCCCCCCCCCCCCCGTCTCCCATCCCTGCCACCCCCGTCTCACATCCCTGCCACCCCCCTCTCACATCCCTGCCACCGCCCTCTCACATCCCTGCCACCGCCCTCTCACATCCCTGCCACCGCCCTCTCACATCCCTGCCACCGCCCTCTCACATCCCTGCCACCGCCCTCTCCCATCCCTCATCCCCCGTTGTCCCCCCAGGTGCACGCGCTGCCAGCGGGCGATGCCATGTGGGTGGCGCGGCACCGGGGCAGCGGGCGGGACTACGTGTTGGACTTCATAGTGGAGTTCACGCGCGCACACGACCTTTGGATGGCCATCAAGTCCTCCCGCTTCCGCGACCAGCGCCTGCGCCTCCAGGTGGGCAGCCCTGCGCCTCCAGGTGAGAACTGGTAAGAGCTTCAGTTGGTTGCATTGACAGGGTAATAAAGCTCAATTGGTGTGCTGGAGAATTCAAGTTGTAATGTTTCATTGTGGCGGGTTGAACTTGTGTGTGACGGCATGAAAGTACAATCATATTAATCCATCCTTGATACTTGCCACGTGTTGCATTAGTCTGCTCTGCCCCGTCCGGTCGGTCTGCCTGTGCTGCGTGCGTGTGTATCAGAGGTGCGGCGTGCGGCGTCTGTTGTGCCTGGTGGACGGCTCACTGGACGACCTCATCGCCTCCGACCCCAACCGAGCAGCGTCAGTCACGAGTCCCGCCCCGCCCACCCTCACTGCCCCTCTCCTCCACCCTCACTGCCCCTCTCCTCCACCCTCACTGCCCCTCTCCTCCACCCCATCATTTCTCAAAGGCCTCTTTCTCCCCGCTCCCATTTGCCATCCCTTTTTCTCCACGCTCCCATTTGCCATCCCTTTTTCTCCACGCTCCCATTTGCCATCCCTTTTTCTCCCCGCTCCCATTTGCCGTCCCCTTTTCTCCACGTTCACCCTCCCTCTGTCACTTCGCCCATTCATCATTGTCACTTCCTTGTCTCGCTTTCGCTCCCATTATCACTCAAAAAAGTGACACTTGGGTCATCCTCTTGCCTCTATGCCTCTTATCACTCTCTGCCTTCCATCACTCCCATCTCACCGTCTCCCATCTCACCGTCTCCCATCTCACCGTCTCCCATCTCACCGTCTCCCATCGTACCCCTCCCCCGCATGCACCTCCCCCCCCGTGGCAGCATGATCTCAGCGGAGATGGAGGAGGGGGTGGACATACAGCAGACGGCATCGCTGCACGACACCAAGCACCGCTACCTCGACATCACCACTGCGCTCACCCGCCGCTACAACGACGCCGCTGCCGCCCTGCACCACCACCTGCAGCAGCACGCGCACGCGGGCGGAGCGTCCCCGTCGCCCCCTCCACCCTGCCCGCTGTACGGCGAGTTCGTGGCGACGTGCCGCTCCGTGCAGTCCGACTCCGTCAGCAACCTCTTTGGCCACCTGCTGCTGCAGGTGCTGCTCATGCTGGGGGGCATGGGGTGATGCTGCTGCAGGTGCTGTGCTGGGGGCATGGGGTGATGCTGCAGGTGCTGTGCTGGGGGCATGGGGTGATGCTGCTGCATGTGCTGATGGTGGGGCAAGAGGCATGCTGCTGCACGTGCGGTGGGGTGGGAGGCATGGTGCATGTGAGTGACAGTGGTGCATGTGAGTGACAGTGGTGCATGTGAGTGACAGTGGTGCATGTGAGTGACAGTGGTGCATGTGAGTGACAGCTGTCCACCTCCACACCTGTCCACCCCCTGGCCCCTGCACTGCACCCCGCTGCCCCACTGCACCACCAGGTGCGCTCGGTCTCAGTGGACACGGCCATCGCTGTGCTGCGCCGCTTCCCCTCCCTAAGGGCGCTCGTCAATGCCTACCAGCTCATGGTGCGTGCCTGCCCATCACTACGCTCTCTCATTATACACCATTTCGCGATTCTCTTTCTCTCATACTACACCCATGCTTTCCTCTATTTCTCATTTGTGCACCCTGTGTTGTCGAGCGCTCTAAGAACATCCATTCTTCCCTCTCTTACACCACACCCATGTGCCTCACGGCATGGCAGGAGGGCAACCCAGAGGGGCAGGCATTGCTGCTGACGCGCATAGCAGTGAAGGGCCGGCGGATAAGCGAGGCCGTCAGCCGCAAGGTGTACGAAATCGTCTGGACCTAGCCCCGCCCCGCCCCGCCCCACCCCGCCTCGCCTCACCTCGCTCGCACATGTTCTGAGCTAGTATCAGCTTGTAAAATACATTTATTGCTTACATGACGTGTTGTTTAAGTCCTGGTGTTGATGTCTAGCCAGGCAGTGGTGGTGTGTGCCTTGTCCATTGTGCCACTCGTTCCTGAAACACCCACGCCCTCAGTGCACCAACTAGACATGGGCAGGAGTAACAGGCATCAACCACAGTCCAGCCTAGCTACCGGTATAATGGCCTATGCATGTTGCAACATGGCAGCATGGCACCCACCCACGCCCTCAGTGCAGTGCAGCGCCCTCAGTGCAGTGCAGCGCCCTCAGTGCAGTGCAGCGCCCTCAGTGCAGTGCAGTCCCGTCATGCGTCCACGGTGCGGCGTCTCTCACACGTGCCGCACACACGAGCCCCGTTGCACGCCACACAGTACCGCCACTTGTTCGCCACCCTGCCAGCACCACACCCCGCCCGCCCATGGCATGGCACGGGCAGTGGGAAGGCGAGAGTGACTCGTCAGTGTGGTGTGGGTGGTGTGGGTGTGTGGTCAGGGTGGATGGTGTGTGGTCAGGGTGGATGGTGTGTGGTCAGGGTGGATGGTGTGTGGTCAGGGTGGATGGTGTGTGCATAGCAAGTGTGTGAGGCAGGTGCAAGGCGAGGAAGGTGGATGGAGGGAAGCAGGGTAACAGCGGACACAAGAGCACACCCATCTCTGCGCGCAACCCATCTCTGCGCGCAACCCATCTCTGCGCGCAACCCATCTCTGCGCGCAACCCATCTCTGCGCGCAACCCGGCAACACCCGTCAGCAGGGGGTGGGCAGCCCCACTCTCATCCACCACTGCGTGCCCCTCTCCCCCCCCCTGCGCCTTCACCCGCTCCTTCTCCTTGCACCCCTCCATCTCGTCCTCTCCCTCTCTCCCTCTGTCACCTGGCGGAGGAGCGCTGGGCGGAGGGGGGGTTGGAGGCCAGTCCGCGGGAGGGCGGCCCAGCGCTGGCAGCTTTGGGCACGAAGCCCTCGCCCTGGCACTCGCTGCAGATGCCGCTGCCCCTGCACGCCGCACATGGCACCTGGTGCAGCCGTGGGTATGGTGCAGCCATGGGTATGGTGCAGCAGTGGGTATGGTGCAGCAGTGGGTATGGTGCATGAGGCAGCGCAGGTGGGAGGTTCAATGGGCATAGCAGGGGATCGGGGAGAGACGAGAGGGGAAGAGATGATGGGGCACGCCACCCACTGCCACTCCTGGGACTCGCCCCTCCACCCCTTCATTGACACTACACGTGCACATGCGTGTACGTGCATGTACATGCGCTAAACTGACGTTTATGTTCTGTCAGAAACATTTCTGGCTGCCCCGGGAAAGACCGAATTTTGACGACAAAGTGGCTACAAGGGAAGCGCCTGACGCATTAGTGGATCAGCACGAATCACGCATGCACCGCCATGTTACTGCCTCATCACGGTCGGATCGCTTCTCGTTCGCATATCCTCCTTTTTTTTCCCTGTCCATGCAACTTCACATAGATTCACAAATAAGGAAAGGTAAGCTGAAGTGGAAGTTAACGTTTGCATGACCTACAAATGCATCAAGTGCTTGGAGTCCACGCACATGGCCGCACACTCCTGCTCTCACCACCGCATCCTTCCCACCCCACCTCACCCCACCCCACCTCACCTCACCTCACCTCACCTCACCTCACCTCACCTCACCTCACCTCATCTCGCCTCACCTCATCTCGCCTCACCTTAACCTTAGCAGCAGCCCCCTCGCCCTCCCCTGCTCTCTCCGACTCCCCTCCTCGCTGCAGCCCCACCAGCACCGCTGCCGCCCCCACCACCGCCACAGCGCCGCCCACAACGGCTGCCATGTCGCCCTCCGCTGCCGCCCGCACACTGCGTGGTTGCCTGGGGCGCGTGACTGCGAGGGGGGGCACTGCCGGGATGGCTGCTGGTCGCCATGCGCCTGGCAGGGGCGAGGCGCGCGAGTGTGCATGCGGCGGGGGCAGCAGCTGCGAGGCGGCGCAGCAGCAACGCACGCAGCGGGAGGCGGACGCACGTGGTGCTGTGGGGAGGGGAGGGGAGGGGTAACGGGGCAAGAGGTGGGTGGTTGCGGAAAAGGGGTGGACGAGCGCAAGGAAGAAGATTGGGCCAAGGTTGAATGGCAGGGAGGAGGGGGCATGGGGGGATGGCAAGTGCAGTGAAGGCTCTGTGTGGGGTCGCCCATTCGCCAGTACCGAGGGGCGGCACAGGGGCGAGCGAGTGAGGGGATGCGCGAAAGGCGAGGGGCGAGGGGCCAGGTGAGGGGCCAGGTGAGGGGCCAGGTGAGGGGGCCCGAGGAGGGGCCAGGTGAGGGGCCAGGTGAGGGGCCAGGTGAGGGGCCAGGTGAGGGGCCAGGTGAGGGGCGAGGTGAAGGGGCCCGAGGAGGGGCCAGGTGAGGGGGCCCGAGGAGGGGCGAGGTGAGGGGGCCCGAGGAGGGGGGCGGCGTGGGGAGGTGAGGGGGGCGCGACGGGTGGGGGCGAGGGCGGGGAAATGGAGGTGCGGTGGTGTGGCGCACGATGGCGAGTGAGGTCTCACGATGGCCTAACTCGGAGTTAGGTCGCACGATGGCGAGTGGGGTCGCACGATGCGCGCGCTGAGGGCGCGCGGCGAGGAGCGGGAGAGGCGGGAGGTGGAAGGGAGGCAGGAGGGTGGGGCAGTGGGATGGGAGACGCAGTGAGAGAGCGTGTGGAGGAAGAAGGTGTGGTGGGGGTCAGTGAGTCAGCACTGGTGCCATGTGCGAGGGTCGGGGCGAGGCACTGACGCAATGTGTGGGCAGGCGACGACGAGAGCGCCGGCGAAGCGACGAGGCCGAGCGATGGTGCCATGGCGGGATGCACGGCGACCGCCGCGAAATGGAGTCTGATGGCGGCAGTGTGTTGCTGCAGGGGTGAGTCTAGCTGGAGAGATCTCAATGCTTCAAACTGTCATACACCAACAGAAACGCCCTTGGATTCTTAAAGCGAGCCTTGTGTGTGTTGGAATGCGGCTCAACTAGGCATGATACGATCTGGAGGGGTATATTCAAAATCTAGAGTGGTTGGTTGGGGTATTTAGGGAATTGTACTTTCGCTGCTGCTATTGTAAATATAATTTGTTACAGCGGTGTACCCAGCCACACCCACCACGCTCCCCGGGACTCCCCTCTCTCAAATTCTCTAAACCCCTCTCGAACCGACTAGATCGCTTTCACGCCACCTAAACCCACTTCTGCTCCTCCGTCCCGTCACGTGAAATCCGAGATCAAATGTCCCTCCAGTCCCTCTCTCCTCTCCACCGTCATTCACAGGCCCATGAATGCCAACAACAATGCCGCATTGTAATGGCAACCCCTCGCGTGACCCGCTACACGACGACTGTGGAAAGCCGCAACGCGAGGCAAGAGACGCAGTCACGCAGGCTTCACAGGGGTCGCGCGACCGTGATCGTTGACAGGCATGTCAATGCCGGAAATCTCGTCAGTTCCGAATCGTCGAATCGGGAGTCCTCCATGTATGCTGCCGCCTGCCCCGCTCTTCTCACCCTCATCCCTTGGCGAGACTCTTTCAGCCAAGCTTAAACCTCCTCGCATCCTCTCCTTCGCCTTCGCCTGAAGCCGTTGAAAATGCTTGTGGGTCATTCCTTCACTTTTCTTTGCCCTCCGGAATCGAGGGAAACGGGAGAACCCTTGAGGGCTATTGCAGGCGTTCGGTACTCCTACCCATATTCAGACCTTCCCAGGATCGAAACATCAAAACTATGGGAGCCCTTTTTCCCCAACCTGCCGTCCCACTCTCTTCTCTTCGTGTCGCCACGACGACATGCGCGACTCACACCCTGCGACTCGAGACGAGTCGTACGGATCAGTGTCGTCCCGTGATAGTGATTGGACGTCGCCATTACGCCTCCAGAACCTATCATAAGTACAGCCAATATTCGTCCCCCTCGATCCGCCACCACCCAAAGACGCGCCCAGCACAGCGCAGAAAGCGATGCCGAATCCGGCCGCGGCGGCGGAGCTTCCGCCGCCTTCATTCCGCGTAGACGTCGCGATTGCGGGCGGAGGGCTTGCGGGGCTCGCGCACGCCGACAGCCTGCAGTCGTGCGGCATCGAGGCAGCTGTGTTCGAGGCAGCGTCCGCGCTGCGGTCGAGCAACAGCACCGTCCTCATCGTCTGGCTGAACGGCGCCGCCGCTCTCGACGGCGTCGTGCCCGGGTTGAGCGCCGCCGTGGCGCGACGCGACACGGCACGCTGGTGAACCGGCGGAGACTCTACCACCCGCGCAAGCCGCCGCCGCTGCCGCTGGAAGGCGCAGCTGAAGGCAGCCGGGGGGGAAGGGCGCCTGCGGGAAACGGCGGACTTGGCGGAGGCGGCGCAAGGGCAGGTGGCGGATGTGCGAGTGGCGGCGAGGGAGCAGCACTAGGCTGTGACTGGTCGGTGGCAGAGACGGACGAGGCGCGGCTGAGCATGGTGCCCAGGCGGCGCATCCCAGGCGCGCTGGCGGCGGCGCTGCCTCGGGGTGACTTGGTGCGGCGTGGGCATCGCGTGGGTGGGGTACCGCCCTGTGCTGACCCAGGGGCGTGGCGTGGGGCCAGTGGGACAAGCGGAGGGTGCAGGGGAAGCGGGGGGGGAGGGGGAGGGAAGTGAGGTGGAGGCGGTGGATGTGGTCTGTGAGGTCGCGGGTTTGAATCCTGGCGAGAAGCAATTCTTGGTTGTGAGGGCAAAGGTGCTGGTGGGAGCTGATGGGGTGAGATGAGCCGTGAGGGATCAAATGATTGGCGACTCGCCACGCTTCCTCAACCAGATCGCATGGAACTTGTTCCTCACTGGCGCAGCTGATGTCAACAGCACCCCAGCTGATGCCAGGAGCCCAGCTGACGTCAGCAGCACGGGAGAGTCATCATCTGAGGCTACTAGTGCACCAGGAGTGACTGGTGTTCCGGAATTGACGGCTGTGATTGACGAGGTGACGGGCTGCAGTGCAATCTTCATCCCTCTGAACAACGGCGATAGATTCTGGCAGGTACGGTACTGGCTGTTATGGTGGTGGTATGGCAGCTAGGTATGGATGTGGCAGGTGTGGTTGTGGCAGGTATGGTACTGGCAGCTAGGTGCGGCACTGGCAAGTACGGCATTGGCAGGTGGGTACAGTTGTGGCAGATGTGGTTGTGCGTACAGCATGAAACGGACCCTTTATTCCAAGACACCCTTGCATTGATTTGTTGCAAGGGCGACACTCAGCCCCCTCCCTCCCTCTCATCCTCTCCAACTCCCCCCTCCCCACCCGCCTTACTTTCTCTTTTGCTTCGCCTTTCCGATTCTTCACGTGCGATACGTTGATTATGACAAGGACCCCACGCTGCAAGACACCCCCTTTGCACGTCTCATGGCACACCCCACTCTGATCATTTTCCTGCTCTTCTCCCGGCGTCCAGGTGCGATACGTTGACTATGATATGGACCCCACACTCCAACACACCCCCTTTGCAGGCTTCGGCAGCAAGCAGGACGTTAAAGCCCGCCTCCTCCCTCTCATCCAAGCTAACCTCCCTCACCACCCCCTCTGGAAACGAGCCTTCCAAGAAGCTTCCTCCACCGCGGAACATCTCATCTTTGAGCATCGCCAGCTGGATCGCCCGCTGCCCGCCGACTCCTGGAGCAACCCTGTGTGCGGTAACAGGGTTGTTCTTATAGGGGATGTGGCTCATGCCATGGATACTGGGCCGGGGCAGGGGGCACTGACAGGGTTTGAAGATGCTCACCAGCTGTCCCTGTGCTTGGGCGAGGCTCGGGATACGGACTTGTTTGCTGAGCCTGCTGCTGTGGCTGCGGCGGTTTGGGAGGTTGAGGCTCGACGGACTGGGCGGTGCGTGAAGGTGCATCGGCATGCGACAGGGCTGATTGGGTATGGAGAGGAGGGGATGGAGTTCACGAGCGGAGTGTGGAGGATCAGACGAAAGCTACAGTTGAGTTCATGAGATGTGTGTACTCTTACCCTGATATCGATGGTGATTCAGAGTCACACCTTTTTCCGGTGAAATTTCATGAAATTCTATTTCAGTGTACAAAACAAAGGCATGAAAGCTAGGGTATTGTTGAGTATTCGATGGGGATGTACTCTTACCCTAATAGAATGCACCCAAAATCTAAATGTGCAGTCCAGTCCATGCTTCCACAGGTAGGGCTAGATCTCTATGATGTTGGGCTGAGAAAAGCCCTTAGGATCTTTGTAGGCCTAAGCTCAGGTTGATGAAAATGTTGCAATTGCAAAAGCGTTTGGTGAACTTGTTGAACCACCTTGCACTAGTTTGTGAGAGCAAGATAGATAAATTAAAGCAAAGAGATACAAGCTTTTATATGATTACAAGAAATACGAAAGGTTTATTTAACTGCTTATTTGTAACTGCAATTGTAACTGCTGCTGTTGCGGTTTGATACAGTGACGACTCGGGCAACTGCTCAATAGCGAGTCAGTTGTGTGTCCTTGCTGTCGTGCTGTATTTCGGCGAGTCAAAGGTCGCTGACCTTTGACCTTCGCGTAACCTCCTGTTAAACTAAATATATAGTGTGCAGGTTGTGTAGGCTACAGTGGGGTAGCCACTAAGGGGTACAGCCCCTATAGGGTGTCACATTTTGTATCCCATTCCACTCGATAGTTCACTCATGCCTTGCCTCATACTTCAACATGGTATTAAGAGCCATCCGGTCCTTAGGACCAGATTTTTAAAAGGGCCCACCGTTAAGTCTTCGATTTCCTGCCCGAATCGCGCCCATAGGCGCGTCACGTTTTTATCCTGCTCAAAACGCGCCCTAGGTGCGTCGATTTATCCTGCCTAGCCCCACTGCCCAGCCTGCGCGCTGCTTCCCCTGCCCCTCACGGCCCCTCAGCAGCCCCGCGCGCCGCCCGCACTGCCCCGCGCAGGCCCTCAGCAGCCCCGCGGGCCGCCCGCACTGCCCTGCGCACGACCCCGGCAGCCCGCGTGCTGCTTCCCCTGCCCCTCGCGGCCCCTTAGCAGCCCCGCGCGCCGCCCGTCCTGCCCCTCGCACTGCGCCAGCTGCCTGCGCGCCGTCGTCGCCGCCCGCGCGCAGCCCCTGCACTGCCGTCTGCAGCCGTCGCGCTACCTCTGCCCCGCCCCGCGCACAGCCCCAGTAGCCCGCGCATTGCCCGTGCAGCCGTCGCACTGCCCCTGCCCCACCCCGCGCGCCGCCCTTGCCGCCCGCGCCCACCTCCTGCAGCCGTCGCGCTGCCCCCTGCCCTACCCCGCGCGCCGCACTTGCCGCCCGCGCCCGCCTCCTGCAGCCCTCGCGTTGCCCCTGCCTTCTGCCTGCGCGCCAGCCCTACTCTGCTGCGTGCCGCCCCACCAGCCCTCCACTGTCACTGAGCTGCTATGGCTACCGTGCGAGTGTTCGCGTTCGATCCTGATGGCCGCCCTATCAAATTCGATACCTGGCTGCATGACCTGCAGCTCTACCTGCTGAGCGACGCTAGAGATGGCGTTTCACTCTATGACGTAGCCACTGGTGCCTCTCCACTGCCCCACCAGCCTCAGCTGACGCTACGACACGCTCGCAGTGGCTTACCCGTGACGCTGTTGCTCGCCTAGCCATTCACAATCACCTGCCGGTAGCTGAATGCGAGCATTTTGACTAGGCGAAAACCGCTAAGGCACTGTACGACGCTGTAGTTGCGCGCTACTCTTCCCCTGCCACTGCAGCGCTTAGCCGCCTCATCCTACCCTACCTTTTCCCCGACCTGTCGTCCTTCGCCACTGCAGACGACCTCCTCTCCCACCTCCGCGCTACGGACGCTCGTTACCGTGCTGCCCTCCTTGCCGAGTTTCTCCCCAAGAACGAGCCCCCGATCTACATCACTCTCCACTTTATAGTGACCCGCCTCCCTGACTCTCTTAGTGCAGTCCGGGACACCCTTCTCACTCTCCCCCCCACAAACCTCACTATCGACTTGCTAGGGAAGCACCTTCGTGCAGCTGAGGCTAACATAGTCGCTGTAGGTGCTACCCGTGGCACCCCTCGCACGTCCTTCTCTGAGGGGTGCTCCCCCTCCCCCCTCGCCCCCTCTGTTGCCTCTGTCGGTGCTGTCGACTTCCTTGGTGCTGAGGAGGTCGGTGCTGCTTCTGCTCCTAGTGGGAAGCGCCGTAGCGGCAAGGGCAAGGGCAGCAAGGGTGGTGGGGGTGGCGGCGGGGGGGGTGGAGGAGGTGGTTGGGGAGGCGGAGGTGGTGGAGGTGGCAGTGGGAGTGGTGGAGCGAGTGGGGGCGTCGGCGGCGGAGGTGGCGGCGGCGGGGGGTGGTGGTGGCAGTGGTCGTGGTGGCAGTGGGAGCAGTGGTGGCGGGAGTGGCAGCGGTGGGAGTGGTGGCAGCGGCGATGGTGGTGATCGCTCAAGCGCAGTTCAGCGGTAGCAGCACCAGCGTCCTCGTGAGGCCCTCTCGCCCGAGCTGCTTCGTGAGTGGCTTGCTCAGCGTACGGCGTCTAGGGGTGGTGGTAGTGGTCGCTGCTCGTCCGTTATTCGCACAGGATCCCACGCAGGTCAGACGTGCGGGAAGTTTCACACCCAGCACCGCTGTTTCTCCCGCCTAGACGACGCTTGGCGTCAGGAGATGGGTGATGAGTGTGAGATGCCCCGCTGGGCAGAGCTGCTTAAGGCTGGTGTTGATGTCTTTGCTCTAGACTATGGTACTATTATTGCAAAGAGGCATGTATGCTCTGTCTACTAGTGTTGAGGGTGACTGTTGCTTGTATGCACCGTATGACCCTGGTATAGAGGCTGCTGCTCTAGGTGCTAGTGAGTCTGCTCCCTCTGAGGCCTCGCACACCTTCACGCTTGACTCAGGTGCTTCTCGCTGCTTCTTTCGCGACAGTACCACAGTCACACCACTCACCAGGCCTGTTGCAGTTTCCCTGGCTGACCCCTCTGGGGGCTCGGTTCTTGCACGCGCCTCTACTGTGCTCCCGTGCCCAACCGTTCCGTCCAATTCCCTGTCAGGTCTCCACCTCCCCTCATTCTCGACGAACTTGGTGAGCAACGCAGTCCTCTAGGATGCAGGGGTTGATATCTGTACACCTGGATGGCAGCGTGTGGCGATCTGTATGTGTTCTCGTACAGGCCGTCACCTGGCCACGTTCACTCGTCGACCGGGGTCGAGTCTGTACACATTGACTACTGCGCCGCCTCAGGTAGCTGCGTCCGCTCAGGTGTCCCCGTCAGGTCCGATAGTAGCCCCCTGTGAGTGTCGCCGCTTGTCGCACCAGACTCTCCTTTGGCACCACCGCCTTGGTCACCCCTCCCTGCCACACCTTCGTGGCATGCACGCTCGCCTTCTGATCTCTGGTCTTCCCGGGTCTTTGCCTTCCCTCCCACCCTCGCTGTCCCCGCCCTGCATTCCTTGCGTCGAGGGGTGGCAGCGCGCCGCTCCTCACTCCTCCTCGTTTTCCCCGACGACAACTCCTCTGCAGACCCTCCACATGGACGTGTGGGGCCCAGCCCGCGTCCAGGGACAGGGCCGCGAGCGCTACTTTCTGCTGGTTGTCGACGACTACTCGCGTTACACCACGGTCTTCCCCTTGCGCACCAAGGGTGAGGTCCCTGCTGTTTTGATCCCTTGGATCCGAGCTGTCCGTCTCCAGCTGCGCGAGCGGTTCCTCACGGACCTCTCTGTCCTGCATCTGCACTCTGACAGAGGTGGTGAGTTTTCCTCTGACCTCTTGAGGTCCTTTTGTGAGGATGAGGGCATCCAGCAGTCGTTCACGCTTCCGACCTCCCGGCAGCAAAATGGGATTGCTGAGCACCGCATTGGCTTAGTCATGGAGGTCGCTCATACCTCCATGATCCATGCGGCTGCTCCCCATTTTCTGTGGCCGTTTGTGGTCCGGTACGCGGCGCATCAGCTCAACCTCTGGCCTCGTGTCTCCTTGCCGGAGACCTCGCCTACACTTCGTTGGACGGGGAAGGTTGGCGATGCGTCCGCGTTCCGGGTCTGGGGTTCCTATGCCTTTGTCTGCGATTCCACCTCAGGCAAGCTCTCCTCTCGCGCCATTCCCTGCGTCTTCCTTGGCTTTCCCCCTGACGCGCCTGGCTGGCAGTTTTACCACCCCACCTCGCGCCGAGTCTTCCACTATTAGGACGTCACATTTGACGAGTCGGTTCCTTTTACCGGCTCTTCCCCTTACTGCACTGCCCCTCTCCCCCCCCCGCCGCTCTTCCTCGCTCCAGGTCCCCCTCCGGTAGACCCCCTCCCCCCTCAAATTCCCGCTCCTTCAGGTGTCTCTCAAGTAGGCCCCTCTCCCTTAGCTGAGCCTGTCGAGGTCACTGGTGACTCAGGTGCTGCTGGGGGTGGTCCTGCTCGGGGTGCTGAGCCTGGAGGTGCTGAGCCTGGGGGTGCTGCTGGGGGTGCTGAGCCTGGGGGTGCTGAGACTGGGGGTGCTGAGCTTGGGGGTGCTGAGCCTGGGGGTGCTACGTCTGGGGGTGCTGAGCCTGAGGGTGCTGAGCCTGGGGGTGCTGCACCTATGGGTGCTGCTTCTGGGGGTGCTGGCTCGCCTCCGGCTCAGCGCTACTGGAGCTGGAGGCGCTGGAGCTGGGGACGCTGGCGCAGGAGGCACTGGAGCTGGTAGCGCTGGAGCTGGAGGCCTTGGCGCTGGAGGAGCTGGAGCAAGAGACCCTGGAGTTGGAGCCGTTGGAGCTGGAGGCGCTGGAGCTGGAGGCGCTGACGCTGGAGCCACTGGAGTCGGAGACACTGGAGCTGAAGGAGCTAGAGATGGAGGCGCTAGCACTGGAGGCGCTGCAGCCGGAGACGCTGGAGCTGGAGGCGCTGGAGCTGGAGGCGCTCGAGCTAGTACTTCTGGAGCTGGCAGTGCTGGCGCTGGAGGTACTGGAGCTGGAGGCCCTGTGCGGCAGCGACTGTTCTTCGAGCCGTCACCGCAGCTGTCTGAGCTTCCGCCCGAGTCGGTGCTCCGCCAGGTTCTT